CCCTCCCCCTCCTCTCCCTCGTCTTCCTTGACTATAATCCCCTTCGCCTCCTCACCCTCCCATAGTCCCACCCACACCTCCTCCTCACCCTCCCATAGTCCCACCCACACTTCCTCCTGACCATCCCATAGTCTCTCCCATAGTCCCATCCACACCTCCTCCTGACCCTGCCATAGTCTCTCCCATAGTCTCACCCACACCTCCACTTCTAACACCATCCCAGCTGCAGAGCCTGTGCTTCTGCCCGCCGCCTGCACTTTTCTAATGCTGCAGGAGACCTTTCTGGCATTTGATAAGGGAGCCGCCCAGTTTATGTCGGGGGATTGTTAGGTCTGCCTTTCCCATCCTCACACTAAAAGGAAACAGGAAAAGGAGCCCGAGCTCCCAGTACAAGTAAACGTGGGAGGGGGTCAGAGCAGGAGGAAAAGGCGGGGAGCCATAAAGAGCTGCAGCTCTGCTCTTCCAGCCAGTGTGGAGATGTGGATGGACGGGCTTCTCTAATAGCGTCTGAGGTGGACCTCACTGCAAACATCACCCAGCTTTGTAGTGCATAACCATGGACTATGTGTCTGCTCTCCTGAGTTTGCTCAGCTGTGTGCTTCTGGGTAGGTACCAGCGTTTTATCTTTCCACCAGTATGTGCTCCTCATCCGTTTCAAACCAAAAAGCCATCATTTATCTGCAGTAAACTGGTCGTCTCAGGACATCCATAACGTGTTATATACTTGTAGGCTTTCCTGCGAGCGACAGTACGATTGGGTTACTGCCATCTTGTGACTTTGAAATTTGCTTTGTTCGTTTCTTGTAGTCTATTAAATCAAAAGCGTTGTTGTACATGCTCTGTGTATAACCCTTCTGTTGAAAAATAAACCACAATGCTGTTTTGCGGGACAGTGGCTTGAAACTGGATCACACGTCCGCATTAATACCCATCCATTGTAGAGTGAAAATTTCCAGCATTCGGCATTTCAAGGCAGTTCTGGGAAGCCTCTGGGTTGTGGGGGACTGAAAACACACAATTAGTGTGAGAGTAGGAGTTGGATCAAGCGGCGCAATGTCAGTAATAAACGTGTGTCTGTGTACACGTGACGCATTCTGAACTGCAGCACTGAGTAATAATGAAGACTGTTGCGTGTCATGCGTATGTCCCCTCATCGGCATGCTTTGTTTTTACATCTCCACCATCTGCCTCCCTCACAGCTCGTGTAAAAAATTATTCTTTATTGATTATTTGCATCTCTAAAATTATCTTGAAGTTACACAACCGTATTTAATTGTAAAGTGAAAATAGCATTTTAAAATGCCTTGGCAAGTCAATTAAAAATGAAATTCTAAAATGATGCACAATTATTTATGATAAACAATTAAGGTATTATATTTTGTATTTATAGTATATAGTATATTTACAGATTGTGTCAAACACATAATATTACTTATTTTATTAATTTTATTGTTTTATTTGGTGCCACTATACAATAAGGCTACCCATATAAAGGGTTTATGAATGGTTTATAATCTGGTTATTACTTAGGTTGTAACACTTTGTAAATTATTATTAGACAATTTTAAACAAGTTATAACACTGTTTTCTTTTAATTAATGAGTTACTACTGTTTACAAGTGACAAAAGGGAGACTTATTGTAAAGTGGTGCCTTTTATTTTATTATGTTGTGCAGTAATTTTATTATTCTGTCAAGTAAGTTCAAATCAAGACTGAAGAGACTTCAAAATGAAACATGAGGTGCTTCTGAAAACTTGCTTGTGAGCTGTGACACAGCAAACAGCCGCTGGCTCAGGGTCTGGGTCACAGAGAGCGGTGACAGGGCGCACAGAGCGACTGCGCAGTCACAAAGATGTCACAAGTTATGTATTTAAAACTATCATTAATACTATATCAGGGCAGGAACAGAAAATCTGCACTCAGTGGTATAAAACAGTGGCTGGCTCAGGGGTAATTCTACTGTTACTTAGAGATACTTTTACTTTTACTTGGAATACGATATTGTATGTTAGCAAACAAAACAAAAATTTTTCATATAAAATCAATACCACAGATTTAGATCAAAGACTTCACGGACAAGAGAACGGCAAGAGAATGAAGCGAATCCACAAAGTATCTTCAGACATGAGGCTGAGCTCCAGTCACTTCCTCTGTCCTCTGTTCTCCATTGTCTTCGCGAATAATCAAGCTTTCCGTCCCTGGGCTTCCCGCCCAGTGCTATGTGCTAGTTTATGGGTCTGCTGCCTTGTGCTGGTAGCTGAACCACAATCAGATAACTGAGCTATGGAAGTATGGTGCTTATGTTGTGCCACTGCCAGAATTCTTAATTAGGAAAGTCGATCCTTCAGCTCGCAGCAGCCCGGGGCGAACATAAAGCCGATTTGCCGGGGATTTTGCCTCCGTTCTACTTTATGTTTTCGATTAGAGAAACCATCCACTTGCTTTTATCGTCTGAGCACATGGTATGCATGTTGTTGTGTGGCTCTGAGGGTTAGGCCCCTATACCTGGGACCGGATGGTAGTTGGTTCAGAGCCTTGGCTGATCAGTCACATTATGTGCAAATTGCAAATACAAATTGATTTAATTCACAGTGAGGTGCTGATTGGACGGTACAGAGAGCAGCTCCTTGTAGAGCTACTGCTCTGGGACGAGGGGAGCTTCTTATTGAAAGGAACGTGATGTTGAGAATCACTCATGTTTCTGATGTTACAGGTGATGCTCTCGACACAGCAGACCTGACCTTGATAAACCCAGACACCATAATAACATCACCTGAGTCCTCACTCCACTGCGTCAGTAGTGACTGGAAGGCTCCAGATGCCATCAGCATAGGTCCAGAATTTTCTTTGCCTGGTCAACAGGCCCTCAAAGTCGTTCAGGACACGACTTATCAAGCGGCTTCCAAGATCACATGGGAAACGCGAAACATCGGCTTTGGAGCATTCTACTGCAGGGTGAAAAGCGTTGACCCCATCGAGAAAGTTTACACACTGAAGATGTCAAATGAAGGTGGGGGCTCTTTGAATATCTGACATTACAGACACACATGCTAGTGGTGTATTTTGAGTTGTTGGCATGTTAATATGAACATCATTCGCATTTAACTGAGAGTTCGGAGCACTGATTCTGGTCAAATAGCTTCAGTGTTAAAATGTTTAATGTTATAATCCTGCATCCCTGAGCTCACGGCAGTTTCACATGACAGCAGATAAACAGACATGGAATCTGAAAAGCATCTTTTTCCCTTTACAGCTGCCTTCCATCCAGAATCATTAACTATCACTGCCAGCATTAACGAAAACGTCAACATTTCTTTCATACGCAAAATCCTTAAGGCAGAGGATGCAGTCATTTACAAAAACTGTAAGTGTCATCGCCTAGTTTATTCATTCATCCACCCATCTTCTGCAACTAATTATCTGGTACAGGGTCCTCGCAGGGGACACTCTGGGTGGGACACATATCAATCACAGGCACACATTGTCATACACCATGAACAATTTATGGATGGCAACTGAAATTCATGTTCTTTTCTAAAGTACTGAATCACTGAACAAAACAAATTTTAATAGCGTTATCGCTTTCATTTAGGAAAACAAAAATTTCTTGGAAACAAAATTATAGGTTTATTTTACACCTAGTATTCTAACGGAAAATATTTTAAACCAGTTTCCAAACTCCTACTAATCACTCTGTCAGAATGTGATTGCTTAACTCATATAGTGTTACTACTCATTTTCAGTTCATGGGGGTTTTATTTGCAGAAAATTGTTCTGAGGACAGAATTAAAAATGATTGGTTCAGAGAGATAACCAATCAGATTATAGAGTAGGTGGGCCCAAGCAACTAGAGGAGGCGGGACCAAGATATCTTATTGGTTAGACCCACCTCCTCTAGTTGCTTGGACCCACCTCTTCT